ATTCAATATAGATTTTGTGATTTTATGCTTTCAATTAAAATTATTCGCATGAGGAGTTTATACTATTGAACTTAATGCATTGGAAGCCTAATCATCTTTTAATTAATTTAGTTATTTATGCATGAACTCGAAAAAGAATTGCGTAGATTAGACTAATAATAATATAAACCGTATGCTAGACTATGAGACCGAGAGGTAATTAACTCACATGTGATAGTAGAAGAAGAGAAGAGAGTTAGAAGCTCCTCCTTCTTAAGCTAGAGGTTTCCATAGAATTTAATGCTTATTAATTTGTTTAAAATTATATAGAGATATGATTAATTTAACAAACCAGTGAATGATTAACTTGAGAAAACTAATTAATTAATTTAGAGAAATCTACCATCATATGTAATAACACTCAATAAATTAACATATTAATTCAGAATTTATATTGATTGATTATGGTAAAATCAATGCCTTAATACCTCATATCTTGGTTAGGTTTATTTGTTATTTTCTTTTTATTATTTTTAATTAAAGTTTTTTCCTATTTGATTGTTCAAATAAATTTAGATTTAATTATTTTGGTATTTAATTAACACAATTTCTCGTGGATTCGACAATTTATTCATCATTATATTACTTGAAGCGATTAGTATACTTATTAGGGTGATTTTAGTGCATCAAGACAAGTAACCCATCCTTACCCAAAATCCCAACCAAACTTGAGGGAGGCTGATTAACCCAATTGTTAGGGCATAGCAGCTAGCTACCCAATCTGCTGCCATGAAATCGGGAGGACTACAAGGCTTTCAATTACAGAGAAAGAGAAAGGGGAAGAAGCTTGTAATAGAGAAGATGACACATCAGGTTAGCTTTGAAGCAGATCTGGCTCAAGCAGTGGCAGGTGACTCCATTAATGACAACAATATCCAGAATTGCAATAAGGGTATCATAGTGAAAGACAACATCAGAGACACAGAAGCTTTATGGAATCGAATTAAGGATCTGGGGGTCTCAACAACAGGGGATGAAATACCGGTGCTGCGCAAGCTTGAGGAGATGGAATTGCGAGATAAAGTAAGAAAAAAGAAGAACAGTACAAACACTCCTAACCAGGTGCTTGATAAATTTTCATGATTTTGCTTTCTTTGAATATTAGGGGGTTGGGAGGTTGTGGGAAAAAGAGAGAAGTGCGGGAGCTGGTGATTAAACAAAAAGTAGAAATTCTGTTTCTACAAGAAACAAAAGTAGATAAAGTGGATAGGAGTTTGTGTAGAAGTCTGTGGGACTCAGATATTATGGAGTGGGTGGCATCACCTGCCACGGGAACCTCTGGAGGATTAATTACCATTTGGAATACTGATTGTTTTAAGAAAATTAATGTCCTTGAAGGGGACGGTTTTTTGGCAATCCATGG